CAAATCCCCCTGCAACTCAAACTAACCTGAGCACAACAAAGCCCCCACCCAAACAGAACACTCCCCCATCCAATCAGAGCACAGCCAACCCCCATCCAATCAGAGCACAGCCAAGCTCCTTAACCAATCAGAACACACCTCCACCCAATCAGAACACAGCCAAGCTCCCACCCAATCAGCTCAAACCCCACTGGCAGTTAAAAGGAAGAAACAGCTGCGATCACACACACTACTCCCAGAAGCACGAAGCTGAAGACACCAGCCTGAAGATGACGAATATGACTTCGTCGAAACGTCGCCAAGACACTTCTAATTCTATGCAGGAGAAAACCCGAATAACTAAAGACCTACATACAAACATCCGCGAAAACCTCAGAAAACATATATATATATATATATATCAGCGCAGCTGATGAAACCAGGACCGGTAACAAGGTCCAGGGGCCGTGTGCAGGCCAGGTTTTGAACTATAAAAGACTCCCATGGACTGACCGTTTAAGCCCTGATGATGTCAGCAGAATGCTGACGAAAGCTTGGCGTTGATATTGTAACATTAAACTCCTAGAGTTTGATTATTTTACCCTGGTGTTCATTTTATTTTATTTGTTTGGCATGGATGCACCCAGGGATCATATATTTAGTTTAATTATCAACATATATATATATATATATACATACATACATATACATATACATATACATATACATATACATATACATATACATATACATATATATATATATATATATATATATATATATATGAAAAACGAGCACCAGGATAAAATAAACAGTACTGTTTAATATAAACAAGCCTGTGAGTAAAAAAGTTACTTACTGAGCTTTCATCAGCCAAACTGCTGAAGTCATCAGTGTTAAAATGCTAGGTGATTAGGGAGCTTGCCTATATACAGCTGCCTGTCTCTGCGCCCGGCTCCTCGAGCGTGTCATTGGCCCATTAGCTATGTTACTCTGCAATGTGTTAAATTGATTCTCATCCGGCAGCCTGTTGGTGGATCTGATGATTGTAGCTCCCTCTCCCTGATCCTGCAAAGAACAACTATTCAGATGTTCCTGCTTCATACTCCCCCCTCCTTTTTTGTCTCTCCTTCCAAGCCGTTCGTCGTCTCCTCCCATAGCAGCTCTTGCCGCCTCACCTGCCGCCCTATCACTCCAGTCCTGCCAGTTGCTATCTCGTTGTGGTGTCACCCGGCCCCCTCCTCTTTTACCAGTTCGCTGTCCTCCCTAGGGATCGCAGCTTCCCCATTTGTAGAGCCATGGTCTTGCTTTTACACCGTATTATATACCTATAATAAAGGTAAAAAAGGATATATGCAGTGTTAGCTTCATTTTAGATATCAAAAGGATTTTGCGGCTCCCAGTGTTTTGTTTTCGGTGGGAAACGGCTCCAAGTGGCTCTTTGAGTGTTTTGGGTTCCCTACCCCTGTCCTAGGTAATCCAGACGTGTTTGATGGAACTCACATTTTGAGAGCTTTGCGTAAAGTTTAGCACTCAGCAGTTTTCTGAGCACTTCACGTACTAATTTGACATGTTCCGCCATGGTCTCTGTGTAGATGAGGATGTCGTCAAGGTAGACTAGAACCCCCTTATACAGGTAATTATGCAGTACTTGATTTATTAGTTGCATAACACAGCAGGGCCCCCCTGCAGGCCGAAAGGCATAACATTGAACTGGAAGCTCCCCAAGGGGCTGTTAAAAGTGGTTTTCCACTTGTCTCCTTCCTTGATCCTTACTCAATAATACGCCTCTCTTAGGTCTAATTGTGTCGTGATTCCGTGCCAGCCTGTGTTCCCAACAGCTGAGTCTGAGAAATCTGAGGAGGAGGTGGAGGAGGCATTTGAAGGGCCATCAGGGTCAGAGGGATTTTTTGTCTGATTTTTTAACCAATTATCTGTTGGAAAAGTATTCTGTTGTTTTTGTTTTTGAGCAAAGTTATCAGGACTGTTTTTGTAATAAAAAGGGGTTGGTTTTCCCAGCCTACTGTTAAAGAGGGGTTTGTTTTTGTGATGCAACAAAGACGGACGTAGGCTGGGACAGAACAGTTTGCCTTCAGCCTAACCCCCTACTATTATGGAGCAGCTACGTGCTGAGAACGCCCAGCTCTCCCAGCAGCTGGCTTTGTTATCTGCCCAAGTTGCTCAGCTATCTGCCCATGTTCCTGCTGCTCCACCACCACCCAGGAGAAAATGCCAAGTGGTGAGGCCGGAC